GTCTGCTTCTCCCTCTGACCCTCCTCCCTCTCATGCTCTCTCTCTCTCATTCTCTCTCTCTCAAATAAATAAATAAAATCTTAAAAAAAAAAAAAGAAATTATTCCCAGATATTGCATGAAGTAAAAGGAAATACTAAGCCAACTCATAATTCAGCCCATCACTCTGATTTTTGGAGAAAAGATATGGTTTCTTATATTATCCTGCTTCCAGTTTTGTGGGTCACTTAGTACTAAGCTGAAGGCAAACTCCTTTCCTGCCCCTTGTGTTGCCAAACTATTTTCATCACTGATTAACAATAATAATAATAATAATGAGAATAGGGTCTTTGCAAAGTGTTCCACTCTTGCTAATTCTATCCTGTGCAAGATGCAAAAAGAAAAGTGGGCAATAGAAAATATCCATAAGGTAAAAGTTAACAGAACTTTAGGGAAAATTTTTCTGAGTAGCACATTGTTTGCTTATTTATTTATTTTAATTTCAAATAACAGTTGAAATATGTTATAAGTTATACAGTGACTCCAAAACTTTTTGTAATGTTCTACAGAGAAAAATCAAATCACCTTCTAGGGTTGGTTTTGTTTGTTTGCTTGTTTGTTTTGAAACTTCTCTTTGAAGAATACCCTTAAAATAAGCTATCAGAAATGGAATGAATTAAAGTTGTAAATGATGTGTGGATAGGATTCCCTTATTGAACTATGATGCATGCAGTTCCATAAAAATATGAAATGACTTCTTATTGCATGGTTGATAATTATTACGGGACTGTTTCTGATTCACTGACTTAACCATCAGACAGGTTATTCTCTTATTAGACACTATGCTGCGCGTTAGGAACACTGTCCCTAAGCGACAGTGGCTGATATCCACCAGATTGTTCTAACACGATAGTGGAGGCCTTCTCCATATTTCCAAAGAGAACATGCTCATTAGTCTCTCTCTCATCATTCCATGCCATTTATAACTGGATTTTATGTGGCTATGGTAATAATAAAAATGTAGTAGAACTTGTTAATCGAATAATTACAAAAAATATTAAAAATCATTAAATTCATAGATGATAGTTTGGAGAAAACTTGAAAAAAAAGATAAGCATGTGATAAGCTTTTGTGTCTTTCTCACTGATAGTTTACCTTTATGAGTTTATTCAATACCTGATACAAAGGTAAACCTATTGATTAAACTTTTGAATCTGAGTTCTAAAACAAAGCAACTACTGTCTAGCTAGACTACTACTATGTCTACTACCATGGAGGTACTGTACTGGTAGAACCAAATATGTTTTACCCTCTTCTAAAATTTTTTCTAAGATTATTCCCCTGAGAATTTTACCAGCATTTCAAATACCTCTCCTTCCTATTTCCTCCAAGGAGAAAGAGAGATGGGTCATATTCCTCACCATTTAGGATGCGAAATAGCTCTTTTTTTTTTTTTTTAAACAGAGGAAAAATTTTCCTTTTTTTATTTTTGCTGTATCTAATCTCATTTTTATTTATATAAAGAATGCATAAGATCATTGATAAAAATACAAACAAAATTACAAATTATAGATTTAAAAGGTAAAAGTTCACCCCCCCATCCTTAATCTCATTCCTTCTCATAAAGGTAATCCCTTGGTGTGTATCTCTTCAGATCACTTTCTTGTTTTGTATAAGAAATGGTATTAGACATTACTTCTTAGCCTTTTTGTTAAGATCAGTGTAGTAAGGGGATTAGACTTGTGTTATTTTGAAAGTTACATTTTTTGGTTCTAGGTCTAATCACAGAAGAAAACATTAATTGTATTTCATCCTTCCCTCTAAGTGGGTTTTTAAATTATATTTACTTATAATTACATAGGTTACTGGTTAACCAAACTTTTATTGTTTGTTTGTTTTTAGCAAACTTTCTGGTTATTGTTTGACAAACTGCTTTATATGCTGGAAGTGGCTGCTTTGTTACATAGACACAGTAATTTTAGTTGAAAATTTCAATAGACACTTATCAGTAAACAAGTTAAATTATTTCTGCATATATGACATATATCCATGTATGAAAGGAATAGAAAGGAAGAAGAAAGTTCTTTCGCACTTTGTAAATTGACTATATGTAAACACACGGCCTCATACAAACACCCTCAGCCCCCCCCCACACACAAACACACACATCATCATATAAGCACACAAACACATATACAGTCAGCTAGGTCATGAATTCATGAAAAACATCTACAAATCACCCAAAGTGGCACACTGATTTTCACTTTTTCAAATGTCTTTCCCTTGTATTTGTGTTGTAGTTTGCTATTAAAATAGACCAAGCTGAAGATTTCCTCCAGAACACCCAGGAGTTTGAGAGTGCTGAGTCCTTAAAATCACTTCTTCAGTTTCACGAACATCATACCAAAGGCAAGAAATATGTTTATTCCTCATATAAGTTTTTAGAGGTTTTATAATATGTTCATGTGAGAATGCTCATGTGTGACAATGTATTTTAAATTTATCTGTTTATACCTCAAATTGTTCCAAGAAAGTTTACATAAAGCTTTATTTTTGGTCATCTGCTTCAAAAAAGACATAGTTGTAAACGATTCTAAGGAGATGTTAGAGAACAGCCTCCAGAGAGTCAGTTATTCAGTCTGCTAGGTTTTAGCTCCTGAGGTCAGAGGCCGTTCTCACCTTGTTCTTCCTTGTATCCTCAGCATCTAGCAGTGTCGGCACATGGTGGATCCTCAGGAAATATTTCTTGGTTGAATAAATTGTTGAATTCAGTGAATGTTCCTTCTCAGGGTCAGGAAATGAAGATCAGCCTTTAAATAACAGCTCTGGATAAGGAAAATCATCTTTCACTATTATAGTTATTAAAAAAGGGGGAGATAGTGGACTTTTTCCTCAGGAAGCCTACAGTTTGGTTGGGGCATGTACACATTTATTGGCGGGTTACCTGTGGGTCCCTGTTACACCACCCAGCTTACTATGTAGTAACAATTCATTTCCATATTTGTCCCTATCACCAGATGGTGAGACTCTGGAAGGCAGGAATTAGTACAATCTGAATCTCCATGATGTAGAATAGCATCCAACCCGAAGTATGTTTATTGAGTGTTATTTGTATTTAATTCCAATGTAAGACACAATACAATGATATAAACTGGAGCAATAAACAAGGCACTACAGGGACATTAAGGAGGAAAAAATTGATTCTAAGCCCTGAAGGATCACAACTGAACCCTCCAGTTTTCCAAAGTCTTCTTAAAATGAACATAATACCTAAGAAGCTTCTGCTCAGGAACAATCATATTATCACTTCCTTGTTCTTAAATGTTCTTAAATATGTATTTTATATGTGGCTGAGATATAGGTTCATTGGAGTCCATTATACTATTTTCTCTACTTCTGTGTATATTTGAAAGTATATTTGAATGAGTTTAGGAAACACCATCCCACTGAGGAACATTTAGAATATTTAAAAAAATTTTAGGAAGAAATATCACCCATGATATTCAAAATCACAGTCAGTGCCAAGACTGTGACTTTGATACTTTTTAGAAATTACTCTTTTAAAAAGATTGCTTAGCAAGTTATAAATTCACTTAAGTTATGTACATCCCTCATTTATCCATCTTGAATCTGTAATTTATACTTAAGTATGGCAAACTATAGGTATTAGTATAAAATCTACTTTAATATAAACTTTCTTAGATATAATGACAATCAAAACAAATAATAAAAATATATTAAATATTTACTTGCCTCACATCACAAGGCATTATGTCAGAAAGTAGGGTTTTATGTATGCAAAAATATGATCTTTAAAATAAACATACCATAGAGATTTTGTATTTCTTGAAGTTCATGATATTCTATCTAGAGAGTTTAACTTTGAGGAAAAATACATCACTTTGTATGATCAACTGATGGAATAAATTACTAGGAAATCACAAACAATAAAAAAGTTAAGGTATAAGAAATCCACAGAGGAAGAAACAGAGACTGACAGAGGAAACTGAGGGAAATACTTGTCCACTTTAATGACTATCTTGGTAGCAGTGATAGACTGATTTTAGCCTGGGTACAGTTTACAAGTAGCCTTGGCCAGAGACTCCATTCCTAGTGGTACTATGGTAGTAGTTATATTATTTTGGCAGATGTGAAACAGAGAACCAGAAAAAGATTGCAAATGGAAATTTTGGCTAATTGTATGTATTCTGTAGGAACCAGAACAGGTTGGCCTGTTCTACTGTCAGTCTGCAATGCCCTTGCCCTTAGAGCTATGCTTCCCTCTCTCATTTGAAAAGTATAGTGTGTAAGAACTAGTTATGGAAAGGAAGAAAAGAAGTACTATGTGGAAACCCTGCCACTTGCCCACATTTCCTCTGTGTGTGTGTGTAACTTTTCACAATATCATAACAAACTCTTCAACGCGAAGGAATTATGTATACATATGTAGAGAGAATCAGTATACTGATTAACATAAGATGAACAAATTAAAACTCTTCAGTTTGCTACACAAGGCCCTCTATAACCTGTCTTCAGCTTGTTTTCAAGTTATTTCTTTCCCTTCTACACAAGAACTTGCTCTAGATAGGTAGGTTTTTTTTCTGCCCCTGCCTCTCCCATCTTGTTAATGTTTGCTTCCATTTCTTTGAGAGATTTATTCTAATGTTATTCCTGCCTTTTCTTACTCTGTTTGAATGATCTCAATCCTCTTTTTGGTTCAAGTTATTTTTGTTGTTCATTGCTTTGCATCGTTAACTCCCAATAAAATTGCCCAGTGCACATAATCACACCTTCCTCACTCTAAACAGATAACACCATCTAATACTTCATTGGACAGATCTAAGTCATGTGACACAAACTACTTCAAATTCTTTCCTTTTCATTGCAAACTCTCTCTTCACAATATCTTCACTTATCTCATTCTCTTTTCCAGCTCTCCAAAAAAAAAGTGTCAAGTTAAAAGAGATAACTGGCCCAACTACCACAGCCTCATTATTGCTGTGTAGTTAACTGCCGAATGTTAGAAAACTGTTCAGAGTGCCATGGGAGAGTGAAAAGAACACTGAGCTTCTAATCAGAACATGTGGCTTTTAGGACTGCTTAGTCCAGTTCTAGTTGTGTGATGCTAGGTAAGGTACTTAGTCTCTGGATGTTCTTCATAGTTCTCCCTGTCCTAAAATAAAAAAAACAGTATATTCAACCCTGCTGATATTCTCTTTTTTTTTTCTCCCCTCTAACAGCAAATGTCTCAAAGATTGCCCTGTCTTGTTGACTTCACTTCATAACTATGTCCCCACTTCTCAACCTGGTAACTTGGCTTCTGTTTCCATCACTTTCCTATCACAAAATCTCATGCCTTCTCAAAATCTTTTTTACATCTCTAGAGAACCGCTGATCTCTAGCACTTATAGCTCTCTTAATTCTTCCCTCTCTCTTAATACGTTTGATCTCATTCAAGCATTCTGCAGAAATTATTGGACATTTGTCCTGTGCCAATCACTATGCTAAGTGCTGGGGATATTGTCATGGTCACTGTCTTCATTTTGCCTTGGAGCCTGGTGGCAAAGGGAGACCTTAATCAACTAACCCAACACATAAGTATAAAACTATAGTTGTGATAAGAGCTGTTAATGAGAACAATTAATAGTATTTGATTTGGTATAGGATTTGATTCAGTCTGGTTTATCCCTTGAGGAATTGGCAGTTGAGTAAGACCTAAAGTATGAGCAGAGTAATGGTGGAGAAGGAAGGGATTAAGAATGGTGTCCCTGGGGGCACCTGGGCGGCTCAGTCGTTAAGCGTCTGCCTTCCGCTCAGGTCATGACCCCAGAGTCCTGGGTTCGAGCCCCGCTTCGGGCTCCCTGCTCTGTGGGAAGCCTGCTTCTCCCTCTCCCACTCCCCCTGCTTGTGTTCCCTCTCTCGCCGTCTCTTTCTCTGTCAAATAAATAAATAAAATCTTAAAAAAAAAAAAAAGATGTCCCTGGTAGAGGACACAGTTAAAAGTTCTGGGGCAGAAGGGAATGTCAGATTTGTGATATAGTTAAAAAGAGAGGGATGAAGAGTAGAGAGATTGAGATAATCTGAAAGGGAAGATAGGAACCAGACCATGCCAGACCTAAAATCATGTCAAGGGGTCTGTCCTTAATTCTAAGGCAATTGAAAGCCATTGTGTGCGTGTGTGTGCATGTATATGATGTAGTGTATTTAGAAAAGATCTGTCTGGCTAACATATAGAGAATAGATGAATGGATTGGAGAAGGATGCAAGAGGTGGCTGCACAAGCCCAGGCAGCAAATAATGTTTTCTGTAGTAGGGAAGGAGAGCAGTAAACACACGCAGGAGACAGAGGGTGGAATTGACAGATATTGGTAATAAGGGAGAGGAATGTGTCATGGATGACTCCTGGTCATAGCCTTTAAACCTCAGAATTAGTCCATTCGCTTCAGAACGTAGAACACATCAAGGGTGGCAGGCACCTTAACCAGCATCACAACACTAAAAACCAACTGACACAGTGCTCAAGTCCCATGATCTTTCCCCTCCCTTCCTGAATTACACTGTCACCGAACTGCAGCAACCTATCATTTGGCAGTTAATGCTACAGAAATTGTTAGGTCATGTTATCTGACCAGATGTATCACAGACATTTTCTATTTACACATTTTGATTCCTTACAGTACAATTTATTGTTAACATAAAGGTTATATATGTTTTAAATTATACAAGAGTTTGAATATTACTATAGAAAAGCTTGCTCATGTCACTATTCTTTTTTCTTTCTAATTTTCTTCTAGAACTCTTAGAACGATCTCTAATCCTTTTAAACAAAAGTCAACAGCTCACTGACTTCATAGAAAAATTCAAGTGTGATGGACCTAATGTGAATCCTGAGTTGATTCAGGGAGCTCATAACAGCTGTCTGAAGATTGACAGCCTTCTTGAGCTTCTACAAGATAGGAGACGGCAACTCGACAAGGACCTGAAGCAACAGCAGCAAGAATTGGGTCAGGTTCTGCAGTTATTTCAGTGGGACCAGCAAGAAAATCAGGTAACCCAAAGGGGAGTTGATGTCCTGACCTCAGCTAATGAATTTGGATTATTGTGTGGACTAGCTGTTTCCTGGGATGTTTCCTCAGTTGTTATGGTCAAATTCTTTGGTCTTTGGTCCAAACTAACATACTGTTTTCCACATAAGTTAAATGAAAAACAAAGATTTTTATCTCCTCTCATCATAATATTGCTTTTATAAATGGGAGAGTACCTGTAGGTAGTTTTGAAAATGACTGTGTTCTACTGTTAGATTCTCTTTCTGACCTCCTTCCAGGTTAACTTTTAGACACAGTTCCTTGAAATTCTGAAATATAAATTGTAGCTTTCTTGAAAGTTGGCGAGGCATGATGGTGCTGAACTGTGTAGTACGTTGCTACTAATGCCAGTGAAAAAGTCTGTCAGCCCCAAGGAGTGTTCTTAGAAGAATGGCCTGGGGCCAAGGAAGAAATATGACCTTGGCCTGTGGCTGGATGTCAGTAGTTAGAGGGCTTTGGGGCAAGAGGTTCGTGTTTGCAGGCTTTTTAGAACTCATTGCCCCAACTGCAGGCTCGGCTTTGGTCAGTTGTCAATATGCTTGCTGTGCACTTCTTTTGTCCCAATTACGTAAGGGTAAGCATGGATAGCACTCTTTGCAAACCTCCAAATTAAGTAGGTGGGATATTTATTGCAATATTTCTAACTGTCCCAGTCCCGTGCTGAAATCTGTACAGAGGAAAGAGAGGGGATTTTCAGGGAGAAATATGTGGAAGAGGCCTCCTGGCCTGGATGCATGGGGAAGGAGTCTCTTCACATGTTTTCTGTTGCTGCTCTGATCCAGATCGGAGACAGACCTATAGCTGGGAGCATATATGAGGCCAGGAGAAACTGATTCTTATTTCAGGCTGGAAAAATGAAGACTTCAATGATGATCAACCCTTCAACTAATGCTTATCGAGTACCTACCATGTGCCAGGTGCTGTTATAAGTACTGGGAATAACAACACACAAGACAAAGTCCTTTTCCTCCAGGAATTTCCTTTCTAATGCAGCTTCTCAATCTCAGCACTATTGACAGTTGGTGCTAGATAATTTGGGGGGCTGTCCTGTGTACTCTAGAATGTTGAGCAGCATCCCTGGCCTCTACCCACTAGATGTCTGCAGACTATCCTCCAGTTGTGACAACCAAAAATGTCTCCATACACTGCCAAATGTTCCTGGGGGGCAAAATTACCCCCAGATGAGAACCACTGTTCTAGTGTGATTAGAAAGGCATACCATAACCAAATGAACGATGATAAGCGCTATAAAGAAAATCAGATAAGGCAATGAATTTGTCTTGTGCTGGTCTACTTTTAATCAGAAAAGGCCTCTCTGAGGAGGTGGCATAGAGCAGAGGCCCAAATGCAGAGACCTCCAGTCATACATTCTGCTTGAATTTTATTGCCTCCCCCTCAAGTCACCATACACTTTTTTTTATTATGTTATGTTAATCACCATACATTACATCATTAGTTTTTGATGTAGTGTTCCATGATTCATTGTTTGCGTGTAACACCCAGTGCTCCATTCAATACGTGCCCTCTTTAATACCCATCACCAGGCTAACTCATCCCCCCACCCCCCTCCCCTCTAGAACCATCAGTTTGTTTCACAGAGTCCATAGTCTCTCATGGTTCATCTCCCCCTCTGATTTCCCCCCCTTCATTTTTCCCCACCATACACTTTCTAACCCACCTCCACTCTCAGCCCTTTTGCCCAGACTCCTGCCCACTGCTGTCTTGTTTCTGCTGTGCTTTGCCTGCCGACCCCCACCCACTCCCCAGTATAGCTCTTTGCCTACCCCAACCTTTACATGCTCCTTACCAAGAATACTGTTATCCAGTGCCATAGTCTTTTACTGAGGATTTGGGCATAACAAAGGAAAATTAATCCTTAGGACAAGAATGAACTTAAAATTGTTTATCAGACAAACATTTCCAAAGTTCCCTGTCTTCTCTGTTGTGAGTCCTTTATATACCACTCTCTTTCTCTCTCCCTGTCCCTCTCTTCCCTCCTCTAATCCTGACCTGACCCCATGTTCCCAGAGCTGCTGTGCCTTTCAAGAAACTTTCCTCTTACCTCTCTGCATTGAGTTCATGACCCCACCCCTACCTCTAGGGCTTCCAAGTTTCAAAATTAACATTTTAACCCAGTCACATACTTAAGGGAAATCCAGGTACCTTGTCATCCCTGGAAATCAGAAAGACTCAGTGAGCCCTCTAACTTATGGGGTCTCATCTTTTTTAGGAGGATTGTGTGTTTTTATTGAGGAGGTGCTTTTTTAAAGTAGACTTTATTCTTTAGAGCAGTTTTAGATTCACAGTAAAACAGAGGAAAGTACAGAGTACCCTTTCTTCCCACACATATACAATCTCTCCCACTATCATCATCCTGCACCAGAGTGGTACGTTTGTTACAATCAGTGACCTAAATTGATACATCATTATCATCCCAAATCTATAGTCTATGTTAAGGTTCACTCTTGGTGCAATATATTCTGTGGCTTTAGTCAAATGTATAATGACATATATCCACCACTGTAGCATACAGAATAATTTCACTGCCCTAAGAATCCTTTGTGTTTTGCCTCTTCATCCCTCGTTCACCCTAATCCTTGGCAACCACAGATCTTTTTACTGTTTCCATAGTTTTGCCTTTTCCAGAATGTCATATAGTTGGAATCAATATGTAGCCTTTTTGGATTGTCTGCTTTCACTTAGTAATATGCATTTAAGATTCCGCCATATCTTTTCATGGCTTGATAGCTCATTTCTTTTTAGTGCTAAATAACAGTTCATTGTCTGGATTTGTCACAGTTTATTTATCCATTCACTTACCAAAGGAGATCTTGGTTGTTTCCAGGTTTGGGCAGTTATGAATAAAACTGCTGTAAGAATTCATGTACAGATCTTTGTATGGACATAAGTTTTAATTCATTTGGGTAAATACCAAGGAATACACTGCTGGCTCATATATAGTAAGAGTATGTTTATAAGAAACTGCCAGACCATCTTCCAAACTGGCTGTACCATTTTGCATTCCCACCAGCAATGAAAATTCCCTTGCTCCACATCCTGCTCAACATTATCAGTGTTATCAGTGTCTTGGACCTTGGCCATTCTGATAGGCGTTTAGTGGTATCTCATTGTTTTAGTGAGTCTCATATTTAAATTGGGAATAATAACTCTTAATTCACAGAGTTGTTCTAAGGATTAAATGAAATAACTTGTATAAAACATGTAACACAATGCCTAGCATTCTAAGAGGAACTTACAAAATATTAGTTTCCTTGTCTTCCCTCTCTTTGGTTAAGCCTTACAACCTATGAATTCTTTCTCACCTGGTCTATATTCTTTCCCCTGGGAAAGAATGTGTATTTGTGGTTAAGAGAACTAGGCTTTCAATTAGACTCCATTTCTAACAGTCCCAAACAAAAATCCATTTAAAAATAATAATACAAATAAATGTTATTTTTAATAAAATTGGCCAGTAAATAAGTTAGTCATTTCCATAAATATCAAATTTAGGCTCTTAATCTTAAAATATCCCATGTTATATTTTCTCTTGTTAACACCAGTGACAACAGCTGGAGTAATTAATAAAATAACTGTTGCGGGGCGCCTGGGTGGCTCAGTTGGTTAAGCGACTGCCTTCGGCTCAGGTCATGATCCTGGAGTCCCGGGATTGAGTCCCGCATCGGGCTCCCTGCTCGGCAGGGAGTCTGCTTCTCCCTCTGACCCTCCTCCCTCTCATGCTCTCTGTCTCTCATTCTCTCTGTCTCAAATAAATAAATAAAATCTTTAAAAAAAAAAATAACTGTTGCTTCTGTGTGCTACCTTGTAAGAGCAAAGATACTGGGTCCAGACTGTTGGCTGAGTTAAAGTCCTGGCTCCATCACTTACTAGCTGAGTAACTGAGCAATTATTTAACTTCCCTCAGACTCAGTTTTCTGTATAATGTAGATATAATATACCTACTTCAAAGTGTTGTTAGGATCATCAAGCAAGGTATTATAATGCCAAGTGCTTAGAAGAGTACCTGCCACATAGAACTGCTATATTAGTATTAGCATTTTTTGTTATCCTACCTGAAAACGACGGTGAAGACCCAACATATTACATACTCCTATACTCCTACCCACTTCTACCACCATGCTCAAGTAAAGACTATTCTTGCGTTGAGGCTAATCTCACTATTTGTCTTGAGTTCAAAAGGTATGATTAAATAAAACTTACTTTGATGATCTCAACAGCCATACTTGTTCAATGGGCATTCAATGAGTAGTTTAAAACAAAAAGAGGGGCACCTGGGTGGCTCAGTTGGTTAAGCATCCAACTCTTGATTTCAGCTAGGTCAGTGATCTCAGGGTTGTGAGATCGAGCCCAACATCAAGCTCTGTGCTGAATGTGGAACCTGCTTAAAAAGTTGTATTTGTTTCTGCTTGTCACTTAATAATGCTCATTTGTTAAAAATGTAGATTAGATCACTATCCATATAGATAATTGCTATTAGCATTTGGCATACTGCCACCTTCTAGAACTTTATATAAGCATGAGCACAGTCACAGGCACACACACATTTATTAAAGAAACACCTAACAAAACACGTAAAAATTAATGGAATTAACCTATGTATGCTATATTATTACCTGATTTTTTAAATTAAATTGAACAAATCATAGGTATATTCTTGGTCAAAAGTACAATGTATCATTTTAATATAGTATTTCACTATTTGAAGGTAGCATAGTTTTTTTTATTGAAGTATAGTCGACATCCAATGTTATATTAGGTTCAGGTGTACAACAATGTTTTGACAATTCTACATATTATGTGATGCTCATGCTCCTCAGGATAAGTGTAGTTAACAATCTGTCATGATATAAAGCTATTAAACAATTTAAACAAAATTTTATTGATGAGGAAGTATAGTCTCTCCAGTTTCTCAATATTATAAACAATAATTCATGCTTAGTGTGTT